AAACCAGGTCGAAACAGCCTAACTTTTCAGTTCACGCTTCGTTTGCTCTACACACAAAGAATTCCTTCTATGAAATTGAATCGAATCCTTCATTACTCACATGCAATCTTTAGTCTCAAGTAGAATCGATCGGATTGAGTGATCACAAGAATGTGACCAAACGGGCGATATCGTTGTCTATTGGACATCGAAGAATGGACCAATGATTGTTTGATGCTTCTGGTATTTATTTGCCTGATTTTTCCGACTAGAATTGATTGTATCTACTGGTTGTCTTGAATCTAGCTGACGCTGCACTATCCATACAGTTTTCAACCCGAATCCAAGTTTGCGCTATTCGATTCCGATTATCATTCTGAATTTTACAATTTCCATTGCGGTGTGAAGTTGCACACTATCGAATACTTGAGATCACATTCACATCCGTCCGAGATTGAAGAATGGGCTGAACGTTTTCGGTTCAGATGGAGTGTATGGCAAAGGGAAAGCAAGAATAGTCCGTGCTATTTTCCACTATCGAGGGAAATGACATATTCTCTGCTGAAGAACCTCGCTTTCTCTGACAATCCAGCCGAATCACCATTTCAAACGCGGAAAAGATTTCTTCTTACTCACGTGAGTCCTGTGGATTTCCAAGCTATTGAGAGGGCAAAGTTCAACTCCTTATCTTGTGCTGAGTCGATGCTGTGTTGAGATTTTGTTCTGTTGCTCAACCAACAAACACTTAATTGCAATTATGAGACAGGATGGAGCAGCAGTTATGAGATCGCCTTATTGCAGACTCTTCCGAGAAAACTGCTCGAGAAAAAGGATCTACGGTTTCCGATGTTCGGAGGAGGATATGTGAACAACATGATGATTCTATTGCAGCAATAACCTTTATTCCAGAGTAATTCATTAATGAATAAACACTTCATTCTACCCAAACACAGTCAGAAGAAAAAGTTCCCTTTGAAGAAAATCCCAAACACGAATATAAATCATTATGTGTTATGTGGCGAATTCCATCTACGACCAAACTGTGGATTCAGCGATGTGAAATGTCACGCTTGTGGGAAAGTTGATCATATTCGGAAGGGTGCCGTCAACGTAAATAAAACCAAATGAAGAGTACATCTTGTTGCAAGAGAAAGTAACCCGTTTAGTGCGTTACGAACCATGGGCAAATGATATAAGCAGTAGATTTACCAGGATATTGTTTTCCAGTCCAGAGTCGAACACATTTTTATTGTGGTTACTGGCTGTAGTGAGTCCATCATCTCGCATGGAACTTTCGGACATGTGTCTAAAAGCTACCTTGAAACCGGTTACAACACGGATCCATGGTTTAAGTGGTCGCCGTCTTCCACTTTTGAGTAAAACTAGCTTACTGATACATTCTCACAACAGTAGTTTTGTGTCCATTTGATTATTGGTGTCCCAAAGCAATCCATCCAATCTTGGATTGATGGTAGTGAGATGCCTATCTTTACATACAAGTGAACCGATGTCCGATACCACTGAACAAACTCGAAAGCTCGTCGTACACTGTGTTAAAAATAAGAGAGTAACGAACGTTACTGAAGCAACATTGGAGTTTGATGGTGTGTCGGTGTTTTCGAAAAGGCGTGTTGTACTACCTGGACATTGTGATATCATGCTTTGGTTCGGGCAACCTGGCGGTATTCCGCCCACTAGCAAATCGTGGATGTTTTTAACTGTTATAAAGATTATTTTATCGTGATTTGTTCAGCACACAATCTGAAATCAGACATGAGTTATATATAAATATACCATCATCATCTACTATCTAAATGCATCAGTCAGATGAAGTTATTGAAAATGAGCTTACTGAGAAAAATTTGCTATTATTTGATCATTTTTCTAAATAAATGTTCGTTAAATGTTGCCTCGGAGGACAACAGTAGAGCATTAACAATCCCTCATCCATGATCTCTCTAAATATATACTTACGCCTCCGACTGCTCGCCGTTTGAAAGACCTTCTTTGATTTAATCTGACTGAGTGGTATACTATGGCCTAAGATTTGGAAACAGTAGCTGTTCAACTCACCGTAGAAACATAATAACAAGCGGTCTGGGCTGGGCCCATTCGGCCTCACCGGGAAATCGATGGTCACTAATCGAGTTGACCATTGCTGTCCGCTCAACAATACGGACAGTCAATTTGCTAGCATCTGAAACAAAATTAAACGTCTATCAATCGAGTTTAGATATCTATCTATCATGGAGAGAAATCACCGCATGAAAAGCATGATTATACCCAGATTCACAATGGATCTTCGCCCATTTGGGAGTTGTTAGCGCATAATCAATCCAACGATTTGGAAAGCTATCACGTGGTCTTTGCATGCACATCAGTACTGGTGGATCACTCGGATTGTTCCGATATAGTGCTTTTTCAGCATGCGCATTTCTTCGTCAGTAAAACTCCAGCTGGCCTCATCGTTGTTCATTTGTGTGTGTGTGTGTGTGTGTGTGTGTGTGTGTGCACGCCCGTTTATCTTGCGTCAGATTTGAGAATAAGAAAACTATTTAACCATTCGACTGACTTGCTTCAATCATGACCATGGGAGGTGTTCCATCTACACACACACACACACACACACATACATACATACATACATACATACATACATACACACATCGATGACCGGCCCTCACAAAAAAAGGCATAGCGATTTTCAGCGAAAAACTGTAGCTATCATCCAGACCATAGATATCAGTTCACCTCTGATACGGATCTGTAGTTAAACTTTGAGTTTGATTTTTCGGTAAGAATAACGTCAAACTATTTTTCCCGCGTTATCTGCTCTTGATGGAACCAAACGGGCATGCAATTTCCATATCCTTCTGACTTTATTCAGTACTGATAACACATATTAGTTCTGTTGATTATTCATTCATTGAATAAAGTGTCAAATAAGTCAGGCCAAGAATACACTTTACTCATCCACGGCGGACGGAATTTCCAGAGAAAAAATCTATCACTTTTGCATTGGCGTACATGCGAATAGAATGAACTTAAAGATATAGTATTCATCAGAGTAAAGGAGGATTTGATTCAATTTCATGGAAGGAATTCGTCGTGCACTGAGTAAATGAATGACGAACCGATAAGCTAAGAAGCAATGTTTCGACCTGGTTGGGTCTCATCAGCAGCACGAATCCACCGACCCCAGTGGAGATCGAACCCGGGACCTCATAGGTAGAGCGTAAGCATGATACCCACTTGGCGACCGGGCAGCTGGTCAAACCGTTTTTCTTCATTTTCCATTTGCACGATATAGCACAACCCATGTTTGCACGCTTGTTGAGGGCTGAGTGATATCAGTCAGTTTAATCTAGACACTGGAGAACCCAAAGATGGGTTGTGCTATATCGTGTAAATGGAAAATGAAAAACAGTCTGATCAACTGACCAGTGGCAGAGTGCATATTGACGTTCTGCCTGTGAGATCCCGGGTTCGATTTCCAGTTGGATCGATGGTTTTCACTGCTGATGAGACACAACCAGGTTGAAACAGCTGTCCAGTGCTTCCTAGTTTTTCAGTTCACGCTTCACTTGCTGTATACACGACGAATTCCTTCTATGAAAATAATATACAGTAAATAGGCAAGGAAGATTACCAGCGAGAAGGCGTAGCAAAAGTGAAAGATAAGGTAAAACAGGAGTTGAAAAAGCTGTGGTGCTAATGTGCAAGTGTTTAAATTTACTGCTGGTGACAGAAGGGGAGATGGACGGGGAAAGGGTTCGGTGCAAAGGATGTGGTGCATCAGCCAGGATTGAGTTGTATGGATGGTCACATGCTTTGAGGTGTTGATTTGTATCGTAGTCGACCAACACCACATAACGGACAGCTGAAAATATATCTATCCTTTACAAAGAGCGTTTAATCAGTATGAAGAAATCCTGGTGAAGAGAACGGCGCAGTATAAGGTCCAATGACAAGTCACACAAGAAAATAAATTTAACAATTCATAGAACGACACCCTCAGGTATGTAAGGCTTGAGATGTGAAACGTCACCTTTCTGACCTTAAGAAATATTTGTTGCGCGTGAAAGGGCCATTTGAGGTAAGCAGACAGAAAACATTCAAGGTCTTGGAAATTCTGTGACCTTTCAACGTTTCAGTTGTTAACTAAAATTTTGGGACTAGGTGATCCGGAATACGTAGATGGCCTACGGTTATTAGGAAACAAAACGCCATTGCTTTGAGTTGAGTTTGAGGGAAAGACTAACACCATAGGACCACTCAGAAATGGAACTTCAAGATGAATGAAGGGAGTTGACGGAAGGATTGCTGTTAAATGCAAAATCACCCATTACAATATTCGTATACTTAAATGAAAAAGAGATGGGGTGAGTGGTAAATTTTGAATGTTAGGGGAGATAACAAAAGAAGATAAAATGATATAATAAACTGGTACGCTTTTGCAAAGTTTCTTTCAGCCTTAGACCGCTTCTTTAGGTGAGGAATGTCACGGAAAGTCATGAACCTCTGTTGTACATTCAGCAAGGAAGAGGAATGAAAAGGAGCTCGATACTTCGAGGTGGATTGTGATGATCCAGACTTCCGTGACCGCAATCCATGCACGACTAGGTACAGATTCATGTCATCCAATCACCGTTCAGGAAGCTCGACCAATGGTACACCGGGCGAACATGACATCCGAGTTAGCACATATGATACGTCGGTGCAAACGGTTACGTGATTAGAGGATGCTCGTTCAACCAATGATATGGACTATTACATTCA